TAGATTATTTTAATTGAATAATTGTATTCTATCGATACTATTAGGATTATGTGATATATAAGTCAAAAGAAAACTATTATATAATATCATTCTTTTATCAAAAATTTTTGTATCATGAATTTTCTTCGGGACATTCAATTTTTATTATTAATCCTAATTTTGATATTTCATTTGGTGAATTGTCAAAATATACCAAATCCGCGATATCAACAGACTAGCTCGCTAATTGGTAATAAGCTTTATTTTTTTGGTGGAGATCTTTCAAACACAGATGCCGCTAATGAAAGTGCTATTAAATTAACTAATGAAGTATGGTATATTGACTTGTCGGATTCATTTAGTATTGTAACACCGCCATGGAACAAAAGTAGTGAAATGCCAGTAGGATATATTTTTGGGGCTTCATGTGTTAGCCCTATTGATAATTCTGTTTTTATTGTTGGCGGAAGGATGTATGTTCCAAATACAGCAATTCCTGGTTCTAACTATTCACCATTATATATGTTTAATCCTAATACTTCACTATGGACAACTCCAAATATTATTGGTTTTAATTCTAGTTTCACAAAGCGTAATTTTATTCAACCTGTAATTGATACTTATGGGAAAATTTATATTTTTGGTGGAAATAATTATACTGGTTTCAATGTGACATATGTTGATTATAATGATATGAACATATTAGATGTTACTTCTATGACTTGGTCAACAAAAACACCATCTAAGAATGTTCCCTCTTCTATGTCTTATACTGCTACATTACTACAAACTGGCCTTATCGTTTATATTGGTGGATATATGCATACTTTAAACGTTAATGCTGTTATTACATATGAGGCTGTTAGTATGTATGAGGTATATTTTATATTTCATATTATATTTTGTTACTTAATCTTTTCTATTAAGAATGTTAACACTTTTGTTTAAATCAAATATAGATTCAAACATTTGATACCAAAAATTATATTTGGTCCACTATTAATGTACGTATTTATTTTGACATTATTATATCTAATTTTTGTTAATTTTATAATAATTGCTCTTATTTAGGCAGCTGGTGACGCTTCTATTGAACCTCGCATTGGGCATTCAGCTGTTTTAAGTACGTTATATATAGTTATATATTGAATAATAAACATAAAATTTGATATTTATTTTAAACAACACTTATCAGTTCAAAACAGAGATATTATCATATACGGAGGTTTGTTTTGGAATAGCTCAGGCACACAAGCAAATCCCTATATCGCCAAATTAAGTACAAATTCTTGGACGTGGTCTATTCCTCAAACAAATGCCCCTCCACAACTTTCATTTCATTCTGCTAAATTATATGGGGATTATATGATTGTTGCTTTTGGTAACTTTTATGTTATTGCTTTATTATTGTTTGTAAAAATTGTAATTTATTTTAATTTCGTATTTACAGGTCAAGGTCCATCTACGTCCACAATATTGCCCCTTAGTAATAGGCTTTATATTCTTGATACAAAAAACTATACATGGGTTACAACATTTAATCCGATTAAGTCTACAAACCAAATACCTCCTGCAAATAGTAATCCAAATAGTGCCAATAATAATTCAAATAATACAAATATTAATTCAAATGTTGCATTGTTCATTGGAATTGCTGTTGGTGTTGGAATAGCCTTATTGGTAATTTTTTCTATTTGTGGATATTTATTATATAAAAGACGTAATCAAGATTTAAAATTTATTCCAACACCCGGTAGTACCGGTTTTTAATTTGTTCGAAACTTCGTCTTTATATAGTTGGGCTCATGTGTCTTATTTTATTGATTTTAGCAGTAGCGATTATTATCAAAATAAGTAGTCAAGTTAAAGTTTTACAATCAATTTTTGATAAAAATGGTGATTTTTTCTTGCATGTTCAAATAATGAATCAATAGCTTCGTTCATTAATACAATTTCTTTCGTAATTAGTTATTTTTCGAATACTGTTAAACGCATTAAGTTAGGAATTTGATATATAAAAAAATTTTTAGTAATTTTTTTTTAGCAATCTCTTATCGATCCGACTCTATGTTATTTTATAAATAAAGGTTCTCTGTTTAGGCTGCTTTACATATTTCCAAAATGTTATTAAATTTTAATGAGATAAAAAATTTAATCAGGTTGATGTTATCATTATAATTCTTAATATCAAATGAAAAAATGTTATAATCAATTTTTTATGTTTACGAATCAATTGGTGTAATGAATATCTGCTACGCAAAATACTTTACCTGAATTTTTTCGCGTATACATAGTTATTTCTAGGTATTTGATTGGCTGATCATATTCATATTCAAGTGATCGGCAAAATTTTTGCTGATTGGCTGTACTAATTACTTACTCATTGGAGCCAATCAAATTTAACGATCAGGTGTAACGTAAAAGAAACGTAAAAATATAAAAATCGCTCATAACTCTAAATTCTACTTATGAAACTGTCTTCTGCGCACTAATTAAAAAGTTTTCTTGGAAAATTTTGGTACAAGAAACACCCTCTTATCATAACCTAAGGGCAAAATGCTAACTCTAGCCCAACAGCGAGAATTTTTACTTGAAAAATTTTTTTGATTAATACTCCGATAATTGAATAATAGTACAGCCAATCAGAAGTGGTGGAGGAAATTAGTAAATCCCCTAGGGATGGTGTAAAGGGTAATTTCGATCATCCCGGCTGTACTACCTTCCGGCGTAGTACTATCTCTGATATGCACGATTTCTGCTATCAGTTCTATAATTTCTATAGTTCCTATAGAAATTATAGTTTTTATAATCGTTATAGATTTTATTATCTTTATAGTTGTGATAGTTTTTATCGGCATTATTATTTTTATTATTATTATAGTTTTTATAGTTGTTATCGTTTTTATTGTTTTTATGGTTATTATAGTTTATATTGTTTTTATCGTTGCTATAGTTTTTATAGTTTTTATCGTTGCTATAGTTTTTATAGTTTTCATAAGTAGAATTACCTATAAAAGCAACGCAAGTTGCCCTCAAATAAAGAATAACTTTGGGAGTTTAGATAATAACTCAAATAAGTTCAGTGTTTGATACCAACTTCGAAATACGAGTAGAAGTTTGGTAGTATAAGTTCACCAGTGTGTTATAAAATTGTTATTGTTAGAAACCCGCCCCCGATATAATCAAACCCCGATCAATTTAAACAATAAGCAATCACCCTGCATATAGTTTAATTGATAAACCCAAAGTCCCCATTGTTACATCAATAACCAATCGGAAGGATATCCAGTTCACGTGCCCCGAAATTAGTCTAAAGTATAAGAACCAAGAGTTAATAACCAAACACCTACCTTAAAGTACCAGGCTAAACTCCAGGATAATCCACAAGATCCCTAAGACCCGGACCAAATCTTCCACGCCGTCTTTCAGCCTACCAACTTAGGGTTGATTGTTGGATTAGTATTGGTTATTTGTAGACCCGAATATTGGTGTGACCATAAACTTCCGATCCAGTTCCGTCCCAGAACCGGTTCACACCTTTTCAACATGCATAGGCGCTAAATAACAAATTCATGTACGAATAAGGATAATCTAATTAAATAATTAATTGTGGTGTAAATTAAAAATAAATAAATATTAAATAAGATCCATTTTTAGAAACTTTATAAGGAGAAGTTTAATTAATTTCTAAATAAGGTTAATAAAATAAAATTGAGTTTTTCCGATTGGTATCGATAAATTATTTTTTCAATGAAAAATAGTGTTGTGGACAGATGTAAAAGTCTGAACTACTATAAACTTTTAGTTTATAAAGAGCTACGTCTGACTGAGAAGTCCCAAATCGATCTTAGACTGCTAGCAGGTGAGATATTTAGGTTTGGTTTAAATTATGCAGAGTGAATGCTGTTTTAATAGACTTGATATTAACGATACATGGCAGGATTGGCAAATGACAATGACATTTAAAATTTTGGTGATAAATGACAAATTAATGACAAGTGACAAAGGTAGTTTGTCATTTAAAAATTTCTATATTTAAATATAAAATTAAAAAAAACCTATTAGCTAAATTTTGCATATATGCTCTAACCCTAACAATCAGATTTCTTAATTTTTGATATAAAATACTTGTCATTTATCTTCTAAATTGCAATATGACAAATGATAATGTCCACAAAGTCATTTATGCCGTTTAAAAGTCACTTGCCAACCCTTATATGTGGGATTAACAAGAGAAAAATGACTAAATTATGAAATACTTTGTTAAGGAATCAGTTTATCTTCATTCGCTCTTATGCATGGATGGTAAATAACCTGGTCATTTGCTCAAAAATTAAATGACCTAGTCATTTGGTTAAATAACCTATGTTATTTGGTCATTTAGGTCATTTACATATGAAGTAATTTTATTGGTCGAATAGTTAATATAAAAAATTATCAAATATTATACTACGTATGATTTTACTAATCGATAATCGTAGCTACATATAATAAAGTCAAAATATTACTAAGTTAATCAATATTTAATATTAAGTAAAGTTGTTCAGAAGAGCAAATTGCATGTATCTTGAAATTTCATATAATTTTAATAACTTTTTATTAAGTCATTTTTGTGTTTTATATTTATATGAAAAAATTTTAAAATTTTTTCTATAAACGTAAAACACAAAAATGACTTAATTAAAAGATATTCAAATTCAATGAAATTTTTAATATATATGCAATTTTGTTCTTCTGAACAACTTTACTTAATATGTAAATATTGATTAACTTAATAATATTTGTCTTTTTATATGTAGCTACGGTTATTAATTAGATTATCAGGCAACAAATGTTAAATGACCTTCTATAGGTCATTTGAATTTGAAATGGCCAAATGACCATCACTGGTCGTTTGGGTCATTTGGGTCATTTCAGGTCATTTACCATCCCTGCTCTTATGTACGTACATAAAAAATCTCATCCGTAAAACATAGTTTTTTTAATTTTTTTTTTACTCAGATTAACCGTATAGAGAGATCATGTCTCCACCGAACTCAGATCGAAGTCAAAATAAATACAGATTCTACGCACCATTTCTTGATGGCTTTCGTGGTGTAGCAGCCTTAGGTGTCGTATATGCCCACTCCCAGGTTCATTATGATCAACGTTTGGCCGTTAGAATATTCGATTCTATGGGAGCTTATGGTGTATATATGTTTTTTGTGCTTTCCGCTTTTTTACTTACTTTTCGGACGCTGTTGGATTGGGAACGGTATCATGAAAAGCAAGAAGAGAATAATGTTGTAAATAAAGTTGAATATTTAAAGAGTTGTGTTGATCTCGAAAATAACTTGTCAGTCGTTCCACTCTTATCATTAACAGTTTCTGATAATACCGTAATGTCTTACAGTTTTATATTAAATTGTTTTATTATTATTATTATTATTATTATTATCTTTTTTATTAATCTTTGTTAACAAATTTTAGACTAACATGCCCTCATTAGAAGAGAAACAACATAATACATTCTGTTATTATATCCAAAATAAAATATGGCCAAAATTTGAAATTCCAATAAAATTTTGGCTAAAATACTTTCTTCGTCGATTTATGCGTATATATCCACCGTATGTGATTCTTTTACCATTTATTGCATATAATGAATTTGTGAGAGGAGCGTTTAAATATACCATAGGTCCTTCGGATTTGATTCCGCATCTGTTTTTGCAATCTGCAAAATTTAATTTTTGGACCATTCCTGTAGAAATAACGGTATTTATATTCCTAAAAATTTTATAATTAATTTTTCTTCATAATGAATTTTAATAAATTTTAAACCTCACTTTATCCCGAATTGTATACTGTAGTATTATTTTTGCATACCAATAATTATCATCGGTTATGTAGAGTTTGCTCGCTTTGGTGCTTTCCTTACAAACCGTTACTTTAGAAAACCTGCAATTGGTGCATGGATATGTAGAATAATTTTCAATGTTATTATTGTAACTAAGCGAACAGATTTTTTACTTGCACCCCATAACATTTACGACGAAGACTTTCAAAACAACGTTCAAGTCTTTTTAGCAGGATCAATATGCGCAATTTGGTATAGAGAAATAATTCGTCTTGGATTGTTACCATTGAGTTTGGAAGAAGAGAGGACTCAGCTCAACAATTCTAATAATTATAATATATCTAGATTTATAAAATCAAGTTTTGCTAAATTTATTGTTAGCAAATTACCGAGTCGACATCAATTTGCTAGATGTTTTTTTGACTGTGGATGTTATTTCGTATTTCTTTTGAAGTATTGTACATTGCCTCATCCGGCGGATATAGTTTTCGGCTTGCCTCGTTCTAATTATGAAATGATACTAGAAAGAAATGTATTTGGCGGTTCGCTTGACGCAATTCTAATTCTTTTTTGCCTCCTTTCTCGCAATGGCACGTTTGTAAATACAGCTTCATGGAATTTTTTCCGTTTTTGTGGAAAAATTTCATTTAGCTTGTATTTATTGCATCCAATTTCGATGACATTTGTGAACGAATATATTCCCTCCATTGGAGTGAATGAGAGAGGAAATGAGTCAGACGAGGAATATAAAGCTAGTTTGATATTTGATGCGATAATTATGTCATACGTGTTAACGATTATTTTATCATGGCTCTATTATAAATTTGTTGAAAGGCCTTCTTTAAATTTAGCTAACTATATTGTGAAGAGGTGGTTAGATGAGACAAAGCCTGAGATAAAGTCTGATGTTAAAGAAAATTAATAACCATTAGCTTATTGTCTATAATAGTACTTTTATTTGTTTTTATACCAGGAACAAAATTTTACGGAAGTAAAATGAAGAGGATGGTTTACAGGAATATGACTTTCTTCAATTTTGTCTTATCAAAAAATTCATCGATGATTAGTTGAAAAATAATAACTAATAATTCATATGAAAACATTTTTTTTTTTAAATTTAATCAAATAATATTTACTTTTAAATAGAAATATAATTATTAATCAGAATATAGGATGTATAAATAAGTTAGAGTATACGATAAACAGGAGGAACTATTGATGTTACGCAACTATCTTAACCAGTGAGGATTATATCTGTAACATAGACAGTAGAATATAAATAATTTTTTTCTGAACTTAACACACCGGGTGTGAGATTAGATGTTGTCAGAGGCGGATCCGCCGGGATGCCGGGAATCATACAACAACAAAACATAACACAAGACAAAATAAAAATAAGGCAGAAAGAGGCGGGAACGATTTGGCATAGGTACCAAGGATCCTACCACTCGGATCCTGGTATAGGTGAATTTCTTTATTAACACGACAACTACTTTTATTCAATGATTAGTAATCTGAGTGAATTGATAATCGAATACGTATACTGTATTATTTAAATTAAAAAATAACCTAATGTA